CGCCACTTTGTGACCGTATAACTCAAAACTGTTTTTGCATCCTTCTGAGATAGTTGGGCGCCATAAATCACCAAGTGGGTTCATTTAAGGACAGGTCCCCAAAGAATAGATAAGTTGCTTTACATCCAAGCTAACAATCGGATTTATGGTAGAAATTTCTTGGGTTCGATGCGCTAAACCATTATAAACTCCGTTTATAACCGGCACCCTCCTGATCCATACGATCTGGGTAAATTCGAATAATTCACTTACACCTGGTTGGTGGTTTCAACCCCTCTGAAAAAATATGAGTTCGTCAGTTAGAGTTACTATTCCTAACTGAATGGAAATTCATGAAATTCCATGGTTTCAGTCACCACCAACCAGATATACATAATTGTTGATCAGATTCCCCTAAAAATCCACGTTAATCCACGTTAATCCCAAAAAAAACGCCTTCAACAAACCCAGGTTATACGGAAAATCCAGTCGTTTGGGGACTTTTTTCCCAACTCGAAACAGTCGGTGGCCTTTCAGGTGCTCGGGCGCGACCAAATCCACTGCAAGCTTCAGGAAGAAGTCGAGGACCTCCGGATTTTGTGACCCCCAATGATGGCATTAGATAATAGGGAAGGATTTTAACCATGGATATACAATGGCATTATTAGATGGCATATTTTTCTGTATACCAATGGATAGGGAAATGATCAACCATACTGTGGATGGGCCAGCGAAATCCTGCACCAGTTAATAGGTGGTTTTTCCCAACTCCCATGATTTTGTTTGGCTTTCTAGCATTTCTAGCATCCCAGGTGGTGCAGGATTTCGCAACCCTCCACAGTAGGACTATATAGAGGGGTAGCCGATTTTCGCTAGATCTCCAAGAAATGTGTTCAGGTTTTGTGTATCTGAAGCATCAAAGAGATGTTTGGGAAAAATAGAATATCTATATATATAGTTATCCCCAAATAGATGGAAAAGTAAATCCTACAAATTTGATGGTGATTTACTTTTCCATCTATTTGGGGATGACTATATAATACTATATATATACACAATGGGTGGAGGTTTCCTTCCTAATAGGAGGGGAAAAAAAACTTTGGGTCGATGTTGGCACCCGCAATCAAACATGGCGGAAATCCACAAGGTGGTGCCCCAGTTCGTTAGCTAAGTTGGTAAACATAACTCCCATTAAACCTATGGTTTATGGCAGATATAACGAACTAGTTAATGGGGGTTAGAAACCAACGTTCACATCACTGGGGGGCACCATCCTGCATGATCAATTGTCATTTTAATGGAAGTCCAATTGTGGGATTTTTCATAGCCATATATAGCCATCTACTACCCCAGGGTGAGCCACCCTCAATGGCCAGAGAGTCAATAGTTTATTCAACAAAAATCCCAGGAAATCTCAAGGAAATCCAAGGAAATGTACCCGAATCCAACATGGTAGTAGAAAATAGTTGGGCAAAATCTCGATATTTGCTGGGTAAATGATCTGTAAATTGGACATGTTCAGCATTGTCAACTGCCATATTATGATGACCTGGGAATATGTTGTTGAAAAATCTAGCAAAGGAATCGCATTTTTTCAAAACCAAAGCCTCGATCATCATTAAACCGGCGGCTTGCAAATCATGTCACTCCCACTTTTTCCCAAAAAACTATGATAAGTGTAATTCCATCCATTTACTGTAATATCGAAATACCTCCCAGCAGTGACCCCAAATGAATCGAACAGTGCACCATGGTTTCAATTGGGGTGTACCCTCTGGTAAACATACAAAGCTATTGACAATTGCCATTAATTTATAGTGGATTTACCCATTAAAAATGGTGATTTTCCATACTTATGTTAGTTTACCAGAGGGTATGTCATATTCGGGGAAGGATTTCCCAAAACGACTTTCCCGAGAACTCAAACTCGTTTCCACGACTCCTCAACACATCCCAAAACTGTTCAACAAATCACATCAAATCACCCAAAAAAGAAAAACACATCAAATCCCCCCAAAAAGTAATAAACAAACGCAACTAACTGTTGGAAGTGGCCAGCTTTGCCCCCAGTTATTTTACACATGGCCATCCCCATCCGCCACTCCGCTACCGAGTCGTTGAGGCATTGCTCATCTCCCAGCAGCTCGATATCTCGGGCCTCAGCAGAGATGTGGGGGTTTCATGGGGTTTCTGAAGTCATGATCTCCTTAAAACCCATGGGTTTCAATATGTTTCAATACTTGGTGGCTCATCCCACTTAGTTAGGGGGGTGTAACCCCAGTTATAAGTGGATTAACCCTACTTATCCCATTTATAACTGGGGTTATAACCCACTTACTAAGTGGGATGAGCCACCAAGTACTAACCGTAATGATTAGATATGATTAGATACATCCCAATCGAAACTCGCTGTAGTATTGGATCTATTAGGATCTATTCATGGGCCCCTCATTTCGGGTGCTTTCCGGGCAGAGTTGGCACTCTACCATGTTTTTTTCCATCATGTGTGGGTCAAACTTTCTTCATCCTTCTGGCGGAAGCCACGACAAATTGGTTTAAGCCTGGGTGTGCAACCAAGGGAACACATCCCTATTTCTTCTTGGTTGCATTAATTCAATCAAGAATCACCAAAAATATACATAGAATCCCATTCAGATTCCATCAAAATCCCATCAACATCCCATTATAATCTCCTGAAAAGCCCATTCAAATTCCATCAAAATCTCCTTCAGATCCCATGAAAATCCCATCCAAATCGGAATTCCAATGATTTTCTTCTGGAAATGGTGGGTTTAACCCATGACCTTTTTCCAGAAATCGGCGTCCTCTTCAACCCAGAGGCTGTAAGTGAGATGCCCTCCAGTCGAAGCACCACCGGATCCTGGGAAAATGATTGGATTCATCTGGATTCAACATGGGAACTACCCTCTGGTTCTGTCAAAATAGCTATTGAAAATGGCCATTTATAATAGTAACCACTATGTGTTTATGTACCATGTTTACCATGTTTATGGTACTCCATTTGTGGTTACCCTCTGGTAATGACTAACATAGCTATTGAAAATGGCCATTTATAATGGATTTTCCCATGAAAAATGGTGATTTTCCATAGTTATGTGGCTGTTTACCAGAGGGTAATCATGGAGTCATGGATCATTTTGGGTTTTTTGTCATGATGGATTGCTATCAATATGGATTTAATCTTCCTGGAATCCAGGATCATCTCATTTTCCATATTGACCATTGATATTTCTGACCTGCAGCAGTTGATCCATCTGACTATTCATGGATATTTTTTTTGGATTCTTGATGATGGATTGCTACTCTCTGGGCGGTTTGAACACCGACAAGACAACTCTGGTTGTTACCTCCAAATATGGTTGTTTTAAGTGCAGATTTTCATGCGGAACCAATACAAACCCACGACATTGGTTGTTTCTGTTGTTTCTTGCTGGCTTGCGCCACCCCAAGCTGGTGGGGTGCTAAGGACTTACGCCCATATCAATCTCTTGCAACAACCCCGAGACCAATTTGACAGCAAGTTGACAAGAACTTTCAAGACAGAAGTGGACTGGACATCACTCCACATTTTCGTCAAACAAGGCAATGCAGGCCAGTAGAAAAACATTTGAACTTAGTCTGGCCTCAGCCTATTTTGTGCACTTCCTATCAACTTCGCCAGCGATTTTGCGAAATCGGTTCTGTCAGGTCCCAGTTCCCACGGTCCCACCTTCTCCAGCTGTTGTGGTAAAGTCCCCTGCACCTTTCCAGGATGCGCGACCATGGCCAACCATGATGAAAATGGATTGATTCTCCCCAAAATGTCCCCTATGGATTCGGATACACAAGTCTTCCCGACCAGGGCACGGATTTCGCAAACAAAGCCAGAAAAATTAATCGATCCACAAGTTGGACCCGCCACAAGTTTTATTGCTTAGACTGAGAAGTCTCCGCCATTTTTTTTGGTTTGAAAACACATGTTGTGTTCCAAATGAGCCATTCAAAATACCCCTATCCCATCTCATTCTATAGGTAGCAATGATCCCTACAGCTAGCAATGGTCCCCAATAGGCCAGGTACTATAACCTTCTATAAGAATCAACGGGAATATGTTGAAGGCTTGATTTCGAGGTTTCCTAAAACAGGGGTGCCCCCAAATCATCCATTTTAGTGTGGATTTTCCATTAAATACCATCCATTTTGGGGGTACCCCCATTCTACTTGGTGGTTCATCCCACGGCTCGTAGGTTAGTTCACCCTAGTTATAGGTGGAGATTGCCCCTCCTTATCCCATTAACAAAACCAGGGTTACCCCAACAAATAGTCGGTTAGTTCACCCTAGTTCACTCAGGTTTTCCACATGTTTCCCTATAAAATGGTTAAATGGGTATACCGGTATGCCGTAGTCCCCTATTTTCAGACAAAGCCATGGAGCCTGCACATAACCAAATGTATCCAAATAATAATATTCATAACCAAAGTGGTATTTAAGGTTCTTAACCAAATATATAATATGTCCACAATTCTAAGGAGTACTTGGATCGTAGTTTAATATTTCTACAATGTGGGGCCTCCCAGTTATAAGTTGACAAAAAAAACAGTAACTAGTTTGTTATCTGCGTACCAGGTTACCATAAACCATAGTTTTTTCGTAGGAGGAGTAACCACAATAATATTTTAGAATATTTATATACCATAAACCATTGTAATATTTATGCACCGTAAACCATAGTAACCACAGTGTTTATGTACCATAAACCATATTTATGATACTCCATTTATGATTACCCTCTGGTAATTTAACAGTTCGCTATTGAAAATGGCCCATTCGAAATCGTGGATTTTCCCATTCAACATGGTGATTTTCCATAGTTATGTGGCTGTTTACCAGAGGGTAATGGGGAACCACCGACGGACTCTGAGCTCCCCAAACCACCACATGGGGTAACCACCAACGCAAGGTCGACAGCACCATGTGAAACTGGCCCACGGCCCATCGGATGGCAAAACCCATAGGCTCCACTGGATTTTATGATCATTTTTTGGGTGATGTTATGCTGGTTGGTGGTGCAATAACCATCTTGAAAAATATGAATTCGTCAATGGGAAGGATTATCCCCTATATTATTATGGAAAATAAAATAAAAAAAATGAAACCACCAACCAGTTATGATATGGTTTGATGATTTAACTAGCAAAAATTGTGCTTTGATGGGGATATCATGGGGATTTGATGGAATATTCATGAGAAGTGGGACGTACCCTCTGGTGTCATCAAACGTTGCTGGGATCCCCTCAATGGAGGAATGGAGGTTGTAATGGACAAAACATCTATAAATGGGTGGTGTTCAATTGCAACCGGTTACCCTCTGGTAAACATACAAAAGGCTATTGAAAATGGCCATTTATAGTGGATTTACCCATAAAAAATGGTGATGTTATGCTGGTTGATGGTTTTATATAACCATCTTGAAAAATATGAGTTCGTCAGTTGGAAGGACTTGATCATCCCATATATTATGGAAAATGAAAGACGTTTGAAACCACCAACCATGGTTGTAATCTTACGAGTACCGACTGGTTTGTAACCACAGTTATCACCCCGTTTTTTTGAATGGAATCATGTGGGTACAACTTCATAAACCATCCCCCAGTCATCACCATTTTTATAGGTGGTACAAATAAACCATGTCCAGTCATGGGTGGTAAAAATGGCATTAATTTCCCACATGATATAATATTCCAATATAATATTAATTATCATATATCATCCAAATACCCGGTACATAGTATTTCATTATATATATACCACGTATTACTCGTGCGGGAGGGATAATGAACCATAATGGAACCACCCGTTTTTTGAATGGAATAATCCACTGAATATCATTTTCTAACAGCCTTGGAGTATCATCCCACGGAATGCCGCTACAGTGGCTACAGCATGCGTGGGACGTGGGAGTTCCGAAAGGAGACAAGTCATAACAGGCTCGTTGATTTGGCGCCATCGGTGATACCGCGGCACAGGCCATGACCACCGATCGGATCGGAGACTTGAAAAAAATTGTGATTTTCCATAGCGGAATTCCATTCTTTGGTTGATTTTGCCGAAAGAAATGGTGATTTTCCATGGCAAAATCGGCATGAAAACCAGAAGGTCACTGGAGGAAATGACAGCATTTTGGGATGGTTTCTCTTGCTGACGATCATGTCACTGAAACCTGAGAAAAAAACCCAAACTTACTGGTTGATATTGGTTCCCATATTGCATGGGAATTACCCTCTGGTAAACATACAAAAGGCTATTGAAAATTGCTATTTAGTTCGTGGATTTACCCATTAATAGCATGGTGATTTTCCATAGTTATGTGGCTGTTTACCAGAGGCTACTCTCCCATCGCTTTGATTTACATCCCAACATTTGTGGCTCAAGGCCTTGTTGATGCCTTGCTTGATAGCTACATCACACCCTCTTTCACCCTTAGACCCCATATTTGACTATTGACTATTGTTTCTGAGTTCATATCCCAAATTTGTATTTTTGTTGCAACTTAATTAGAAACAATGACATCCTGAGTCTACGTACTTTCATTTCCAAATCGTCGGTTAATTGCACCATGTGTTTGTTACTTAATGTGATATCTTTACTTTCTACCAATGCTCGTCGAGTGGTTTGTCACTTAACAGACTTAACATCCCCGGCCCTCATCTTCTCAGCATTTTTTACCTCCCAACTGGATTCATACAGTATCACCATATGTGTCACTTCACATCCTCAATATCTCCTTGGAGCAACCCCCAGGCCCCAATATTTTTATAGAAAAAAGTGAAGCCTGGAAAGTGTGAAGCCTGGAAATTCGGGGGAAAACATCATCGGATTTGATGACCATCCTGGAAATACGTTCCGGCATCTTTTTGAGGTTGCTAAAGTAGGGGCTGCAACTACTATTTGTGTTTTTACGACAGGGGGCCCCCAAGTCCAATAGCTAACTTGGTAAACATAACAAGGTGAATTCTATGGTTCATGCTAGAAATATAGTGATAATTTGTTGTGGTTAGGAAGCAACACACACATCTGGGGCCGCAATCAGAATCATCATGGTCAGTAGGTCAAATATGGAAAGTTCAAAAAATCCTTACTAATATGAGAATACGTTTCACGATTGCATATTCTGACTACTTCAGGATTATGATATGTTTAATCAAAACACTTTGTTAGATTTTGTTAGTACTTTAATACTGGTGTTTCAGCTTCGAAAAGTCGAAGCCAATTTTTTCAGCACGGGATACCAATCCTGAAAGAGCGAGCTCCGAGCCGTAGATTTAGTGGATTCGAGTGGTAAGTCACCTAAGTGGATCATTAATTAATTCGTTGGCACCTAAGTGAATTATACCATTTATGAATACGTTATAAGTGGATTATAATTCATTAACAGCTTATAACATGTTATAACATGTTATAAGGGGGTTACTCCCCATAAAGGATAGTCAGGCTCGACACGTGCCCAAGCACCGAGAGCGAGGTCCGGGCAAGTACCATGGTGGACGTGGGAATAATCAAAGGTTGATGTTAATATATGGTTAATAATAGATGTGGATCAAAGGTTAATAGATGTTAATAGTCAAAGGTACCAGGGATAATCATCAATGTTAATAGTCAAGATATCAATCATCCTTGGAATTCAACAATGTTTTGTAGAAGGGATAGATAACTCACCAGCTTATCGAAGTCAGGGATAACCGATAAAGTTCCATAATGTTCCCATGAAAAACTTCGCGGATTTTTTAAAAGCAATCCATGTTTAAGATTCACTTACCAATATGGGAAATATCATACATTTACGGGAAAGCCGAATAATGACTGGCAAAAATTTAGCAAAAAATCCATGGATTCCTGCAGTTTCGTCTAGATTTTACCCAACAAACCAATCCATTGATTTGTCTGGCTGAATCATAATGATTCACTAAGCTGAAAATAGCTGTTACCATACGGCCATTTGGGGATGATTCCCGCAATCTAACCATCATTCCACTCACATCACGACGTGAGGTCACTATCATTCATCCAGACTATATTAACCAATTAAGTTAGTTCATCAACCCGATATGGGTCACCAACTTGCACTTATATTGCTTACATTCAGATGATTTCAGATGTAGAAAAAAAGATGGAAAAAAGGATGGAAAAACATGTCCTAAACATGTACAAATCATTATATCAGGGTAAATTGTCATATTTCACTAACCTGAATCGTTCGGCCATTTGGGGATGATTTCCCTATAAAAACCATAGATATTCCATAGATTTACCCATTGATAAAATCATAGATTTACCATGCATTAACCATAGATATACCATAGATATTCCATAGATTTACCATCATAATAGCTCCGTATTAACCATAGATAAATCAATATAAATCCCAGCAATTATAGTTATAAGTACCTATTTTTCATAGTGAAATTGGAGTTATGTGGCCCCCAACTTGTCGCGATTTCGTGGTCTTAAGGGTGCCCCACATTGTCTAAATCCTACGAAGATCCATACTGGTTGGTGGTTGAGCCCTACCGCTCTGAAAAATGATGGAGTTCGTCAGTTGGGATGATTATTCCCAATATATCGAAAGTCATACCAGAGGCTATTTCCTATTCATACACCCATGAATTGGTTGGTGAATTCCCCATGAATCACCACTAGAATCACCATGAAATGAAGTTTTCCCATATGGAAAGTCATTCAAAATTCCATGGTTCCAAACCACCAACCAGTATATATATATATATGTGGAAAATCACCATGCTATTAATGGGTAAATCAACGAACTAAATGGTCCAAAGCACCAACGAAAATCCATTCGATTCCCATTGCCATAAATAGATCATCCCATTCCATTATAGATGGATCTTCCCATGCTATTAATGGGTAAATCCACTATTTCGACTGAGCTATTTTCATAGATATTCCAACAGATATTCCTTAGATTTACCCATAGATAAAATCATAGATTTACCATACATTAACCATAGATATACCTATTTTTATACCTATTTTCGATAGTGACATTGGAGTTATGTGGCAGCGTGTCAAAACCTTGTACCCCTGGTGAACATCAAAATAGCTGGTAAATGGATGTTCATCCCACTAAAAATGGTATTAATAGGTATTGATTCATAGCCATGTGGCCCCCAACTTGTCCAATAGATCTTCCAATGAAAAATTCCCATTGGCACCTCCGGCTCGTTAGTGACCAGCGCCAAGTGATCCAAGTAATCACCCTGATCGGCAGAGACCTGGCGGCAACGCTGGGCACCATGACATGTGAAAAATTATGGGAAAATGATGGGAAAATGATAAGAAAATGGTATAAAATGGTATAAAATGGTGGGTTCATGTGATTTTACCATGAAAATTGGGGATGGTTGGATTTGAAGGGAATCATCATGCAATATACCATCAAAAATGATGTAGTTGAAATTGAATGGAATCATTCTTGGGGATTCATATGGAGCTGCCGTGCCTTTGTCATTCCAGGTCGATTTTTCGATAGGCCTTGTTGACCACTAACCACTAACCCATTCAACAACCCCCGGGAAAAAAAACTGATTTCGTAGATCTATTATGATCTATTATGATCTATTATGATCTATTATGATCTATTATGATATATGATCTATTATGATCTATTATGATCTTTATGATCTATTATGATCTCTTATGATCTATTATGATCTATTATGAATCTATTATGATCTATTATGATCTATTATGATCTATTATGATCTATTATGATCTATTATGATCTATTATGATCTATTATGATCTATTATGATCTATTATGATCTATTATGATCTATTATGATCTATTATGATCTATTATGATCTATTATGATCTATTATGATCTATTCAATTTCTGGCCTCCATATATGGGGAGTATCTAATAGTAACTCGTAGGATAGGATTGAGGCTTGACACATCTCTGCGATCATTCACCAGGATTAGCGACGGAAATCTGCTCGAAATCTGCTCAGCTGCTTAGTCAGTTGGTCTGCTCCCATGGGAAATCCGCATTCCGTAGGAAAATGGTGGAATATATTGGAAAATGGTGGAATATATTGGTGGCAATTGGTGGAAAATGTTATTCATTGCCGGTGGAGTCTCAACCTTTGGGAACATCTTGGGAGAATTTTCTCCAACTCGATGAGATTTCATTGGAATATGTTCAGCCTCTAAGATCCAAAGAATGGCACAACCAGGAGGAGTTTGTGGAAAAATTCATCGAACTGTATTCTTGGGGGAGTGGTAATTAATAGTGAACAATTGGTGTTTAGATCAGAGACAATGTACACAACGTACCTTGATCATAGAGTCAAAAGCTTCCTAAAATCAAACCTTGTGGGTGAATATTAACCTCCGGTAATTTAACAGTTCGCGAACTTGAAAATTGCCACTTAGAAATCCTTGATTTACCCAGCTACATAGCATGGTGATTTTCCATCGTTTTTTGTATGTTCACCAGGCCGGGTATCACTTTCCATGAGACAAGCATGGAATCATGGGTTGATCAACTCAATCTCTTAATCCCATCCCTTCATATAAAACAGCCAAAACAGCCCACGGTCCCCACAGGTTTCATATGGTTTCATCCCCACCGTGCCACCATGTTTTCGCTGGGGGATGATTAGATATATTAATATATTAGATTTGGAAGGGATGAAGGTCAGTTTATCAGTCATTTCTAATCAACCCCCCAAAAAATGAAGGTCATGAGTCAAATTCGTTTTGGCGTACTATAGGGTACTAACTTGAACCCTGGGAATCATGGCATCATGGCGAAAATCCACGATTAGAAAGCTGACGGTTTTTCCCATGTACCCTCTGGTTATTTAACAGTTCGCCATGGTATAGATGGCCCATTTATGGATGGTTTACCTATTAATAGCATGGTGATTTTCCATGGCTATGTTAAATAACCAGATGGTAAATAGCCATTTTAATCCGGTGATTTTCCCTACCGGAGGGTAGACCTGATAATGATTCAGAGATATTCAGTGAGGTGCCGGACTTGACGAACATGTCGATGCGAGCATTGCGAACATCCCAATCTGTTTCTTACCCGTCGATGGTCCTGATTGAAAGGCGGTTTAATCCATGGTGTAATCCTTTACATCCATGGTTTCGCATCAAGAAAATCGGCATCTACCCTCTGGTAAACTAACAGTTTGCTATAGAAAATGGTCCATTTTGTTCGTTGATTTACCTATTAAAATAGTGATTTTCCATAGCTATGTTAGTTTACCAGAGGGTACCCTCTGGTAAACTAAGATAGCTGTTGAAAATCACCATTTTTAGTGGGTAAATCAACGAACAAAATGGGCCATTTTCAATAGCTATGTTAGTCATTACCAGAGGATAGCCCTCCTCCAAAATCGTTGCGCAGTTTCCATGGACCGTTGCGCGGCAGCTCATCTTCCAATCTCCATTCGAGTGGGGTTCCGTATGAAAGTTATGGCACTGATGCACGATAAAAATTAGGGTTTCTCTGAAAATTAGATGGCTTACTGGTTGGTGGTTTCAACCCCTCTGAAAAATATAAGTCAAATGGGATTATTGTTCCCAATATATTGAAAAATATAAAATGTTCCAAACCACCACTTTCTCACTTTCTTGTGCGCGCAACGTCTCACAAACGTTACCCGTCTTGGGTGTCCTAACCGCAGCTAGTGATCAAAGTTTTCTCAACGCCAACAATGTGATCTACATAGGGCAAGGCTTCGATGGCTTTGGATTGCCGCTTGAATGCAAAAGGAACACAGGAATAAAGCCATCGGTCAACAGCGATCAAACGGTCATCTGGCCACGGAACCGCCATGACACCAGTATGCATGCAGACCATGTTGGAGTGAGGCAAACCAACAGTGTACGCGATCTTCTGCCCCATGTGGCGCAGACATTCTTTGAGAATTTTGGTGAACCATTTCGTTCTTGTTTTGTATGAAAAACCCTTCAAAGCCAAGTGGGGGACGGTTGCCCCGTTCTTCCATCCTTGCAACTTTACAGGACCAGGATTTCCCGTAGCACCCATAAAATCCGCGTACAGCTGCAGATGGGAAACCCATTTCATTGAAGCAGTACTAGTGTACAAAACGTCCCAAAACCAACTCACCACAATCCTAACCAGTTCTTCCCCATACCAGCGAATGGCTTGTGAAGGCAGAGTTAAGGTTTTGAGGCCCGTCCAACTTGGCAAAGGCTGTGTCGCAACACTACCAAGGTTATCCAGACAAGACGGTTCTTCGGAATCATGATCACGCATCACAGCTTGACTGATCAAAAGCAAAACATTCCTGCACAAATAATTACTTCTTTCAACATATGCAACTGCATCCATGTGGCGAGAGGCCAGGTCCCAGAACTTGTGAGGGCGTCTGAGGTTGGCAGCAACCGCTTCACGATCAGCAATGGCATTATGTCGAATCTTCCAAATTTCATGGGGGGTCGACGCAGCAGAAACTTGTTGGTGAGCTTCAACCTTTTCAACCCAAATGGCTACGGAGCTACCTTGAACCATGCTTTGGATTCGGTTCCACAGGTCAGCATGAACACTGCTGGGTTTCACTTCTGAACCCTGGAGGATCTTCCGCAACCTACGCACAACTGCCGAGCAATCAGTCCAAATGGTGCAATCAGTTTTACAGACATGGGCAAACTCAATCGCTCTCAGTACTGCAAAAATTTCCGCTTGCACCGAGCTCTGCAATAACCCAGGCAACTCACCACTCTCAATGATATGTGTGTTGGCAAGGTTTTCTGATTCATCAGCTGCCAAGACGACAGCCCAAGCAGCAAAACGCAAATGTGGCTGGCTTTGGCGGAAACAACTCCCGTCAGTGAAAAGGTTCATGCGTCCACTCACTTTCATGGGGCGCAGGTGCGCCGGCATAGGCAATTGCACAAAATAGGCCCACCATTCAGCCATGGTGGACGGTTTGAGATCCCAGCCGAAACAAGTCACCGCCTCAGGTAATTCACACACTGTTTCAATAAAGTCATCGGGCAAACCTTCACGCGCCCATGCAAAATGCTCACATTGCCAAAACCGGTGAAATCTGCTATCACTACAGAGACAATATGGACATGTGTCTTCTTCAATGGTTTGGCAATACTTTTTCCCATCCTGCGTTATGTGGGTGCCGTTGAGGATTTTCCGAAAAAGAGCTTGGTCACTGGGATTTTGGGCACTCAACCAACCTCTAGTAGACTGTGGCCACACATGCTCGAGACCTGCGATACCAATGCGATGTTGAGTCGCACTTTGCACTACATGGAGCCATTGCCACTCCAACCGCAGGAAAAGTTCAGCACATGAAATGTCAAACAAGGAAAATGGCCCAAAAGCGTCAACAAGGAAGCCCTTCACATCAACGCTCCATCCCAGGAACTGAACACGCTGCATCAAAGTTGCGGTGATACTATTGTGTGCCGGGATAATGCCCTGTGCCATGTCAGAGAGTGTGTCTTGCACAACGTCAAAGCGACCGCAGTCTTTCACAAACCTGAAGGTCTGCTGGATGCACCAGAAATGGGGATCGGCTTGCGGTGATTCAATCAGTCCCAAATGAAGGAGAGCGTTGCTCCCGGCATGATCTTCACCCAACCCTTTCATGGCACCAGCTCGCATGGTTTGAAACGTACTAAGGCTTATGGTCGTGGCCGCAATCGCATGCAAACCTCGAGGCCAAGCAGCACACTTCAAGGCACGAACCTTTAAGTGGTAGCCACACACAGACAAACGCAACCTCGGCCACAAACCTTGAAGAGATTGGATTCTTTCCATTTGGACCCCATTAGTATGAAGCTTTGTGAATTGGAGGTGCGCACCCAAGTTTTTATAAAACGCAGACAATCTGAAACCTTGTTGCCGAAGCAGGGTTCTACTCTCTGGCAAAACGGCCCAGACATGGGTTTTCTTTTTGTCAAGCACAAGATCAAGGGCGTCAACCAAATCATCCAAGGCTTTTGCAGCAGGGGCCAAAAACGAAGGATCACAGACAATCAGCTGCCAATCATCAACATACGAAATAGGCTGAACCAGCGGCAAGTAGTGCTTAAACCATTCGTGGTAGACAAAATCAACTACCAACATGGCAACACATGAAAGTGCATCCCCCTCGGGGAACCCGCATGTGGAGAAGATGGGTGGACTCATGGATTGGCGAAGCTGAAATCTCCGCTGCATTTGGCTCAATGCTCCCGCCCATCCTATCAACACATTAAGAGGCACACCCAAAA